TTTGCTCATTTTTTGTTTGTTTGTTTTCCTGAGACAGGGTTTCTCTGTGTAGTCCTGGCTGTCCTGGAACTCAGTCTGTAGACCAGGCTAGCTTTGAACTCACAGAGATTCACCTGCCTCTGCCTCCCGAGTGCTGGGATTAAAGGTGTGTGCCACCACTGCCCAGCCCCAGCTCCTTGTTGACTCTTATATTAACTCCAATCCTGGACCAGTGAGCTGGTAAAGGTATTTGCTGCCGAGCCTGATGGCCCAGGTTCAATCCCTGGGACCCACATGATGGAAGGGGGAATTCCAGGCTTTTTTTTTTTTTTTTTTTAAATTATTATGTATACAGTGTTCTGCCTGCATGTATGCCTGCAGGCCAGAAGAGGGCACCAGATCTCATTATAGATGGTTGTGAGCCACCATGTGGTTGCTGGGAATTGAACTCAGAACCTTTGGAACAGTAGCCAGTGCTCTTAACCTTTGAGCCATCTCTCCAGCCCCCGGAATTCCAGCCTTTAACAAAAGAAAGCCAGGGGCTGGAGAGATGGCTCAGAGGTTAAGAGCACTGACTGCTCTTCCAGAGGTCCTGAGTTCAATTCCCAGCAACCACATGGTGGCTCACAACCATCTGTAACGAGATCTGGTGCCCTCTTCTGGCCTGCAGGCACACATGCTGTATACATAATAAATAAATCTTTAAAAAAAAAAAAAAAAAAGAAAGCTCATACCTTTCTCAGTGACTCGGCCCTTCTCTGTGGAGAGGTACTGGGTTTAATGCTTTTGTGATAGTGGTACAAGTCTTTGGTTTCTGTGACTCTGATCATCGTTTCCACCTAAGAAGTGGTCAATATAGATGAACTTTTTTTTTTTTTTTTTTTGAGACAACGTCTCTCTATGTAGCTCTGGCTGTCCTGGAATTTACTATGTAGACCAGGTTGGTCTAGAACTCACAGAGATCCACGAGCCTCTCCATCCCAAGTTCAAGTTCTGGCATTAAAGATGTGTGTCACCATGCTCAGCCACACAAAAACTTAAAGATGTGAAACCAAAGCTGGCAGTGTGACTCAGCTGGCAGCATCTGCCTGGCATGCCCCGAGCCCTGAGTTCAACCTCCAGCCCCACAGAAGCCGTGCACCTGTAATCCCAGCACTTGGGAGGTGCTGGCAGGAGAATCAGAACCTTAAGCTCATCCTTGGGTTCACAGAGTATATAGCAAGGCCAGCCTGTATTGGGACACGGAACCATGGGACCAGACAGGCTGGTCAGGACATGTGTAAAGGTGGAGAAGAGGCCTCAGAAGTCACCTTGTCCTAGAGAGCACCACCCATGCCTGGCCCAAGGAAAGTAGGTGACAAGTGACAAGCCTGAGGACTTTGAATCATCTTGGAGGAAATGGCTTCCCATTTGGTCGGGACTCTCTTAAATGTCTGAAGTATGGCCGGGCGGTGGTGGCGCACGCCTTTAATCCTAGCACTTGGGAGGCAGAGGCAGGTGGATCTCTGTGAGTTCGAGGCCAGCCTGGTCTCCAAAGCGAGTACCAGGAAAGGCGCAAAGCTACACAGAGAAACCCTGTCTTGAAAAAACCAAAAAATAAAAAATAAAAAATAAAAATTAAATGTCTGAAGTAGCATTTCTAGGGTATACACATTGGACACAGCTTGGGGAGACACTACAGCCGGGGGAGCAAAGAAGACAGATAATGAGCAAGGGCAAAATCTCCAGTCCAGAAACATAGAAAAGGGAGGAATCTTTCCCCAAGAGCAGGCTCTAAGGGGCTGGAATGTGGCTCGGTGGTAAGAAGGAAGCCTTGGGGTCTGTCCCCAGCACTGTCAATATGCACACGGCCAAAAGCAAAAATAACTAAGCAGGCTAAGGATATCCACCGTACGAAACGGAATAGAATGAACTTAACGGGAAGAAGCCAAGTCCCCAGCAGGTTTCAAAGCAGGACCAGAGGGCGGGGTCAGGTTCTGCTCATGTCACCCTGTGCCGTCTGTCGCCCAGCTCCTCCTCTGGAAAAGGACCTGTCACAGATGTTGGAAGACGGGAAGTTGATTACGAAGTGCTTGGCGTAGCTCTAGCGCACAGTCGGGTGTAGCTCACCGACAAGGGGACTAAAAGAAGAAAATGAAGGCCTAAAATGGTATAAAGGAGAAAATGGGGTTGGGGATTTAGCTCAGTGGTAGAGCGCTTGCCTAGCAAGCGGAAGGCCCTGGGTTGGGGCCTCAGCTCCAAAAAAAAAAAAAGGGAAAAGAGAAAAGAGAAATGGAGGGGCTGGAGTTAACATTCTGAGCAGGAGCAGATTTGTGGGCATGCCACCTGTTGTCAAACAGGGTCCTACTCTCAGAATAAGTCTGGGACTTGATTCAGCACCCTGCCTTAGCCATTCTGAAATTCTAAATAATTTTACGCACGCGAGAAAGTGCACGCGGGCGTGTGTGTGCGCACATGTGTTCATGCTCATCTGATTTTCCATGTGGAGACCTAAGGTCTTGGATGTTAGGTGTCATTCCTCAGGAGCTGTGGACCTTGTTGGTCTTTCACTGATTCTGAAACATTCAGCTGGACTGACTGGCCAGCAAGCCCCAGAGTCCTCCAGTCACCATCTGCCCGAAGTCCTGAGAATACAAGCCATTAGTGTCCACAGTCACACCCAACTTTTCTCATGGATGCTTGAAACCAAACTCAGGTTCTCACGCTTGTACAACAAGCTCTTTACCAACTGAACCATCTTCCCGGCCTCTGATTTTACCTTCGCACTTGAATTTTGTAAGGAAATCCAGTACGCGAAGCAGTGTGCCGATGAGCAGGGGAGATATGCCAGATGGCACTCAGCAGGCTCGGGCCAGCAAGCGTGGTAGGTGGTGGGCAGCACAGGTGCCTCGGAGTTGGCCTGCCCACCTGGCATTCACTCATGTGGCTGAGCAGTCTGTGCCACTGTGGAGATGCAAGGGAATGGGGAGCAAGGATCTATGCCTAGATGGATAGTAACAAAAGATACAGTGTGGGCAGAAGCCCGCCAAAGCCATGGCAAGAGAAGAGATTTCGTGTGGAAGAGCATGATCACGTGGGGTGTGCACAAACGCAGCTCTGGTGTCTAGGAACGGGCATCACCGCCAGCACTCGGGCAGGGACTTTTGATAACAAACTGTAAAGTAAAAGGTGTACCTGAAGGTTGCATTAAAGCCCACAGTTTGACTCAAAGAACCAAAAAGGGAAGGCTTTTTTTTTTTTTTTTTTTTAAACATGTATGGGTCTTTTGCTTGCATGGTTATCTGTGACTCACTTGCATGCTTGGTACCCAGAGAGTCCAGAAGAGGGTGTTGGATCTCCTGGGACTGGCATTATAAACAATTGTAAACTGCCATGTGGGTCCTGGAAATTGAACTTGGGTCCTCTGGAAGAGCAGCCAGTGCTCTTAACCACTGAGCCATCTTTTCAGCCCCAGGGAAGACTTCTTATAGGAATTTATAACATTATAAAGCAAACATCAGACACAGAAATCTAAAAGTTCACCACAGTCTATAGAACTACATGTGTTCTCAAGATGCTTCATCATTAACAAAGGCTACTTTACAATAACATTTTCTCTGTAATTGAGGAAATCAAATTGCATAAACAATCTGGGGGCTGGAGAGATGGCTCAGCAGTTCAGAGCATTTGCTACACTTGCAGAGGACCTGGGTTCCATTCCCAGTACCCACAAAGTAGCTCACAGCCACAGAAAACTCAAGTTCCAGGGGATCCACTGCACTCTTAACCTCCGCACAGGCTTCACACACATGATGCACAGTACAGACAGACAGACAAAACACTCATACACATAAAAATGAATAAATACTTGTAATTGCATGAACAAAAAATTAAAATATTTACAATGAGCCAGGCATGACAGCACACTCCTCTAATCCCAGCAATCAGTGGGTAGAGGCAGGAGGACCTCTGGGTGTTTAAAGTCAGCCTAGTCTAGGTAGTGAATGTCAGGCCAGCCAAAGTTGCATAGTGAGATGATCCTCTCACAAAACCAAAACTCAAACAAACAAGAATCTATTTGGAGCTGGGGAGCTGGCTCGGTGGGGAAAGGCACTTGCTGTCAAGACTGACGACCTAAATGTAATCTTTAGAATCCACATGGTAGAGGTAAAGAACCAGCTCCCAAAAGTTGTCCTCTGACCTCCACATATGCTCTGTGGCATCCCCCCGCCACTAAATATGTAAATGTTTAGAAGTCTATTTGGGTCAGGAATATAGCTTTATCTGCACAGGGCTGTGGCGTATGCAGAGCCCTGGATTCTCTCTCCAGTACCACATAAACTAGGAGTGCTGGCATGTGCTTATCATCCTAGCACTTGGGAGGCGGAGGCAGGATCAGACAGGTAGACCGCTCGGCTGGCAAAGCGTCTGTTATCTAACTATGAGGACCGGAGTTTGGATTCCCAGCATCCATGTGAAAACTGGGCTTGGCAGTGTGTCTATAATCCTGGCTCCGGGGAGGTGTAGACAGGAAGATCCTTGGAGCTCTTCCCACTATGGATCGGCTAGTCTTTGCTAAACTGGTGCACTCCAGGTTCAGTGAGAGATCCTGTCTCAAAAACATAAGGCAGAGGGGCTGTGAGCTGGTTCGGTGGGTAAAGGTGCTTGTCACGCAGACTTGGCTATCTGAATTAGATCCCCCGAACCCAAGAAAAGGCAGGAGAGAACAGACTTGACAGACTGTCCTCCGATTACCACATGCCCATCAGGGCATGTGTGTCTGTCAAACACATACACATACACACACACACACACACACACACACACACACACACACACACACACACAGTTCACGGTCAACCACAGCTATAGAGCAAATCGGAGGCCAGCCTAGGATACACGCAACCGTGTCGTGGAAAGAACGAGTTAACCAAACAATAGTAAACAAATAAAACATGGCCCAGGTCAGAGGAGACAGAGGGGATCAACAAGCCGAAGCCATGCTCGGGACCGACAAAGAAACAGTCACACAAGCCCACTGGTGAGTTGGAAGTCTTCACTTTATTACTATATCACCAGAAGTCACCACCTTCACTTGGTTCACCACAGATGGATGGATGTCATAGAGGAGGATGCCACAGGGCCACTGGATCCACTCTGGAGAGGCTTAACCAGGTGGGGGAGGGTCTAGAGCAGGGCCCACGGTGGGGGGCCACCCTTCACCGCACGCACACACACACGCGCACACACACTCACAGATATATTGTGGAGCCTTATATTATACATCTTATATATAGAAAATATATATATTTATACTATACACAGGCAGTAACGCTGCGGGGGAGGGCACCCAGACAAGAGCCACGGGTGCCAGGGGCGGGAGTGTCACATCAGGGGTAGCACTCGGAGACGGCTAGCCCAGTCCACCCTCCATAAACTCTGGGGACTCCTGCTCACGCTCTTTAAGAGATCAAAGGGGTTGTGGATCAAGGGTAGGGGTGCCTCAGGGGTAACAAGTGGGATCTCTTGGTTACATGGGAAAAGCCTAGAACCCCAAGAGTCTTTGAAGATCAAGAATCATTAGGGACAGACGGAGCGGAGCCTGGTGCCAGTCCCCTGGGAATTAGCCCCTTGATTGCTACATCCCAGGTGGACTGGGGGCCACCCAGGCATGTTGGCCTGGGACTGCAGGTCATGTCATCTCAGAAGGCAGAAGACAGGGCTCCCGATCTCTCTCTCTGTGCTTGACCTTGGATGAGACATGAGTCTCTTGAAGGACCTCTGCAGCTATAAAGTCACGTGGAACCCATATTTCCCAGACCTTCTTTTGTGCTTGACAGGGAAAGGGGGGCCCCCAATTTCAGCTGTGGGGGGCTGTCTCCAAGGAGAATGTGGGAGGAGAGGAAAGCAGAGACAGTGGAGAGGGCAAGGAAGTCGGGATGCTGCTGGCCTTGGGTCCTCCCAGGGCTATGCTCCGTCCAAGGGGGTGTGGGGTGGACCCCGCCCAAACCACTGAGTCAGAAGCCTGGGTCTTACTCCAGTCCTCCTAGGCTGACATCACTACCAGGATGGTGGCATGCATCTGGAAAAAGGGGAGGTGCTTGCCAAGGTCCCAGCAGCCCTGCTCCTGGTCCTGTAAACCTCCCCAGCCTGAGGACGAGGGTCTAGGACAGACACCCAAGGCTGGGCAGAGTTTAACCAGCACTCTGCCCTCTGCCTGCCACTACCAGCTGCCTGGTGCTGTCCAGGGAGAAACGGACGGGCAGTCCTTGGGTCTCTAGTGCTCACCAGCAGGAGTAGTGAAGGCCAGGACTTCTCACAGCCTCTTGGTGGCACAGAAACACTCCAGTAGCCACACTGCCTGTCCCCTCTGGTCTGGAACCAGTCAAGTCACCCAAGCTGTCCCTAGTTGAGCCGCCTGGTTGGGGCACGGGGGTGTACACAGAGCCCCTTCCCAGATGTGGAAAATGGAAGTTAGCAACAGCCAGTTGTCACTCAGCTGCCTGGGGTCCTCTCCCAACACTGTGGCCCCCTAGGGAACTTGGGAGACCCCAGTTTGGATCCAATCTCCAATGCTCACTCTCCACGCTCACAGAGACTCAGTTTCCCCTTCTGTTCAGGAGGGGTAGTGGTGTCCTCTCCTTGACTGACTTCCTTAGGCCTACACTCACACCGTGCTTTCCTACTGTAATGGGTCCTGTATCTCTGTGTGGTCCACAGGCCCTCAGAGGACACCCTTGGTGACGCCACACCAGCATGGGTACCAGAAGAGCCAACTATGTGTCGCTGGTAGAAATAACCCCAAAGCTACAGTTTCTCAGCTGAAAATGGTAGGCTCGCACTGTGGGCACACCGCAGGGATCCCATGTCATGATTAACCTGGCTGACACCCGATGACTCACATAGAGCAAACCTGCCCATCTGCATCCTGTAGGGCATGGGGTGAGATGGTGGGGACACCCATTGTTGAAGCTGACTCACAGCCCACTGCCCTGCTTCACAAGGAACCAGGTGGTGTATACCGGGTACGCACAGGAAGATGGCACAGACACTCTCCCTCTGGGTTCCTGCTGTGATGGAGAGGGGAGCATCTTCTGTCCCCTTAGGCCCCGCCCACTCTCCCCTGTCTCTGCAATCACCTGGTATTCTCTTTTTTTTTTTTCTCCCGTGGCTCAAGGTCTCCCTGAGCCTACCCTGCAGTGTCTCAATTGTGAGTCATCTGGGGCAGTGTGACCTGCACTCAAACTGACCCTGTAATCGAAAGCTCCCGGCCTGGCCGCTCTACCACCGCTTCCTCACTGGGACCTTGGGTCACTCTCCACTCCCACCTGGCCTCCCGTCTGCCCAGCCATGAGCAAAGACTCAGGGAGCCCTCCAAGGGGCAGGGGCGGCCTCCACTCCTTTGGGAGACTGCAGAGGGGGTGGCTGACACACCCCGAAGGAGTTCCCTGTGGGACCTGTTGGGCTTGGAACAACACAAGGGGACAGGGGCAGGTCTGGGGAGCCCTCTAGAAGACCAGGACTGAGGAGGGGACCCGAATGGAGGGAAGCAGCTGAGGCAGAGGAGGTCCTTTGTTTGCAGCAGATCATGGTGTCTCACTGGACTCGAGTCCTGAAGCACCGCCCCCCTCCCCCCCAATCAGAGTAACACTGAGTGGCAAAGCCTAGGTGTAGAAGGAAATAAGGAGAGGCAGGCCGGCAGAAGCTCTGTATCCGGCCTACCTTGATGTGGCCTCACATCAGCTGCTTGAATGACCTTGGACAGAGTACTCTGACCTCTCAGACCTCAGTTTCCTCAACCATAAAATGGAGATAGCCCTGGCAATCCCAGGAGGACAGTTATATATCAAGGATTCTGGAGATGATGACCCACATCCTGTGACTGACCACACTCACCTGTGGCTGAGTCCCCCTGCAGCCAAACTTGCCAGTATCTGTCTGTCTGTCTGTCTACCTTTCCTGCACCTGGAGCAGGGCCTTCTCAGTCCACCTTCCCTCCCCATTTCTCTCACTCCCCAGCTGAGCAAAGCCTGGCATACAATAGGTGCTCAGTGAATGCTCAAGGACATAATGAATGACTGTGACCCCTGGGCCCCACCCTCTAGACCCCTGCTGGGCACACGCTTGCACACACATGTGGACACACCCCACCTGGCTCCCCGATTCCCCCACCCCAGCTGCACTGGGCCTCAGTGGAGTCACTTGGAGGCTGAGCAGGTGCTAGGCAGGGTCACCTGGGAGGGAACAGGGTGTTTGGAAGGGGAGCTAGGATGAAAGGACAGGGACAGGGTAGGCGGTCACTGTCACCACCATCATGGGGGCTCAGTAGCCCTGCGACTGGTAACCCTGGGGTTCAGCATCGAAGGCGTTGGCTGGATGCTGGTAGGTGCCACCCATGCCAGCAGGGTCCGGCCCAGCGCTGGGCTCCACGTAGGGTGCATAAGGCATGCTGGAGTCCTGGCTGGGATCCATGTAGTCCTGGGAGAAGAGGGCCGAGTCGGCGCCAATCTGGTACCGCTGGAAGGCCAGCACAGCCTGGCCCGCCTGGGATGGGAGCAGGCAGGGATGAGGACAGGAGGGAGGGATGGTTAGGGGAGAGACAGACAAGAGCATTGGGTTAGTAGAGGTTAGTTGACAGGATACAGATGGTTACAGATGTTCGATGCACCAAGCCTAAGGGGAAGGACTGTTCACACACCCACCCGTCCGAGGCCCAGGACCACATCATCTATCCATAAAGAACCTCAGGCCGGGCGGTGGTGGCGCACGCCTTTAATCCCAGCACTCGGGAGGCAGAGCCAGGTGGATCTCTGTGAGTTCGAGGCCAGCCTGGGCTACCAAGTGAGTCCCAGGAAAGGCGCAAAGCTACACAGAGAAACCCTGTCTCGAAAAACCAAAAAAAAAAAAATAATAATAATAAAAGAACCTCAGAAGTCACCTGGCCCAGGTGTCCCAAGCCAAGACGACTCCACTTCAGAGGTTAAGGCAGCCCAAAGGCCCACAGCCTGCTCCCAAACTGTGTTCTCAGGGGTGTTAGGTGAAATGGGAGGAAAGGCTACCTAAAACAGAGAACTCTTCGCATCTCCTAAAAGCCGTCTTTTTCTTTCTCTTGCAGCTAGGCACAGTCATGGGGTTAACTTCCAGCCAATGAGGCACAGCCACGTTCTATGTCCCACTCTCAGGTCTAATACCTGGAAAATAGCTGTGACAGCTGGAGCTCTGGTTGCTGAAACACACTAGGATGGGTGACGGGTAAGGGATAAGGATGTGTCTCATCACTGAAGGGACACCTAGAGGCATTATGCAAGCCCTGCAGCATCCTTCCAGACTTGGAACTTGTTGAAATTACTATTATTTGGAATTGAAATCACTTGCCACTAAAGCTAATTCTAGCCGAAACACATGGCCAGACAAGTTTGGGAAATGGAACGAAGCCGTACAACACGTTTCAGAACCACAGGACTCATCAGAACCTTGACTGTTCGATACATGCTGGGTCCTGTTTCTCTCAGTATGGAGTACAGAAAAGGTCTGACTGCAGCCACATGCAGAGAGAGGATGCTGACCACAGAGACCTAAACAACAAATCGGCTCTGCAATTCGCAGAGGAAGCCTTCCCTAGGCCTTGCTGGCCCACGGTCCCAGGTCACGGCTGAGAAGATGAAGGCAGAGAGGGGGAGTGCCGAAACTCAGCCCCAAACACGGGGGGGCCCTGGCCTGCGACATACTCAGGAGTGGTCAGGGCTCTCTGGAGCTGTGGTTAGAGGGCAGGAAACAAATAGGATGACTCCTTGAGAGGTATGGAGGCCAGGCTCTCCCTATACTCTCTGGCTTCATGATGCCTGTACAGAAGCAGGAGACTAGAGCAATGACTTCCACAGACCCTTCCAAGGGAGAGGCCGCTAGCGAGAGCAGTGGTTCTCAATCTGTGGGTCGCCGCTCCTTTGGGGTCGCATGTCAGTTATTTAAGTTATGATTTATGCCGGGCGGTGGTGGCGCACGCCTTTAATCCCAGCACTCGGGAGGCAGAGCCAGGCGGATCTCTGTGAGTTCGAGGCCAGCCTGGGCTACCAAGTGAGTTCCAGGAGAGGCGCAAAGCTACACAGAGAAACCCTGTCTCGAAAAACAAAAAAAAACAAAAAAAAAAAAAAAAAAAAAAGGAGGAAGAGGAGGAGAAAACAAACAAACAAAAAAGTTATGATTTATAAGAGTAACAAAATTATAGTAGTAGCAATGAAATAATTTTACAGTTGGGGGTCACCACAACCTGAGGAACTGTATTAAAGGGTTGCAGCATTAGGGAGGTTGAGAACCCCTGAGCTAGAGGCACTGGAGGCTGTCTGTGGCTAGTCCCCTGCCCCTGAGTCAATGTCGACCTTGGCCAGCCGGTACAAAGGGCCACGTACAGGAAGAGAGAAGGACCCGGCCCAGCAGTTATGAGGGAGGCTGAGGGACTCTGTTCAGTGCTCTGGGACCTGCACTCCACGTGGTATCTCACCAGGCAGCAGGCTGTGTGTAATTGCATGCCTCCAGTGCCTGCAGGTTCACTCTCTGCATTCAGCTACAGTAGGGCAGAGGCAGTGCTCTGGGGTCCGCTTGTCCCCACTGCATCCCGATCCCCCACAGAGAGGACAAGCACAGGTGGGCTGCCCAGGCTCTGGGGGCCCAAAGGAGGCAGTGAGGAGGATCCGAAGGCCGCAGTCTTCAGGCAGAACAAGTACTTACTACAAGACCCACTCCCAAAGGAGGGTTTATGGAGATGCACCTTACTCAAGGAATGAATGAATGAATGAATGAGCAAACAGACGAACAACAAAACGGACATTTATTGAGCATCCTGTGCCAAGGCCTGTGCTGGCCCCTGTTCAGCCTGCTCAGCTGCCTGAAGAAGTTCATCCATTATCGGTCAGGCTAGGACAATTGACTAAGATTCAGAGAGGTGCAACAATTTACTCTTGATCACACAGCATAGGAAAACTGAGCCGGGCCAAAGGTCCTCCAACATTGCAGGCCAGTCCTCTCTAGGTAGTCACCCCAGGGGGACAGTAAGTTGGCCTTTCACACCACAATCATGGACAGCTTATCACACTGTCAACCCCTTCCTTGGAGGCACTTCAGACCCTCTGAGAGCTCACCCCACTTTGTAGAAGTTTGGCTATCTTTCCCTTCCCAGCCTATAGGTTCCTGGGACCAGGGACCTGTCTAATCCACACAGGCACAAAATAGTTGCTCAATAAATGTTTACTGAAGGAACAAATGTAAAGAATAAACAAAGGAAGCAATGCATCATGGGTGAGCCAGTGGTGAGCCTTAGCTCACTCCTCCAGCTAGCCTCATCCTGTCTTTCCTGTCCTAGTGGTCAGGCATCTCCAGCTCTGGGCCATTCCTGCAACTGGGCCCTGCTGGGGCATGGATTCCCTGCCCTTCAGGGGCTACGGCTGTGCTGAGGCAGGGAACAGTGTGTTGTATTCCTCCTGGAAGGTAAGGTCCTTGAGTCTGCGTACGGCCAGGGCTGCAGTCACGCTCTGCCGGAGAGAGCAGGGGTGAGGCCACTGAGCAGGTGGAAGGACAGAGCTGCCTCAGGAAGGCCAGCTGTGGCCAGCAGCACCAGTCCATCAGCTCCACCCATCTCAGTCAGAAGCAGGGGTGGGGAAGGCCTACTCTCCAGATACCTTCTTCCCAATTGAGATCCCCTGGGGTCACTTTGATCTTCCTGCCCAGCCCTGAAGGCATCAAGAGCTATGGTTACCATGGCCGGCCTCTGGGAACCACAAAATTCTAGCTCCCAATACTGGGGGCTGCTGAAGGCCCCAGAAGATGGGTGTTGGGGTCCTCAAAAAGAAAAAGAAGTCACTCCAGGGAGAGTAGGGACAGGGAAAGCTGACCGTGTGCAGCCCGAGGGGTTTCTTGAAGAATGTGGGGCTTAGGACGGTGCAGTGGGAGAAGAAAGAGGCCTTGGGAAGAGGGAGCTGCTGAGACCCAACCTCTCAACAGGAGGGAGATTAGGAAAGGAGGAAACAGATGTGACCTAGACCCACGCAAAGAGGGGCTAGCCTGGCTGTGGCACGTGGAGTCCTTGAGACCTTGGGTTAGCCCCGAAAAGAACAGGCTCCAGCATGTTGGACCCCTAAATACGATTTCCTCCATATGCAAGATTTTCATTTTTGGAAACAGGGTTTCTCTGTAGCCCTGGCTGTCCTAGAATTTTCTCTGTAGCCCAAGTTGGCCTCAGACTCACAGACATTCACCTGCTTCTGCCCCCTGAGTGCTAGGATTAAAGGAGTGTGCCACCACTGCCCAGATTATTTTTTGTCTGTTTTAAGGAATTTTATTTTTAGGCTGGGTGTGTTGGAACAAGTTCCAGGACAGCCAGGGCTACAGAGAGAAACCCTGTCTTGAAAAACAACAACACACGGGTTGGGGATTTAGTTCAGTGGTAGAGCGCTTGCCTAGCAAGCGCAAGGCCCTGGGTTCGGTCCTCAGCTCTGAAAAAAAAAAAAAGAAAAAAAGAAAAGGAAAGGAAAACAACAACAGCTGGGTGGTGGTGGCGCACGCCTTTAATCCCAGCACTCGGGAGGCAGAGGCAGGCAGATCTCTGTGAGTTCGAGGCCAGCCTGGGCTACAGAGCGAGATCCAGGACAGGCACCAAAGCTATACAGAGAAACCCTGTCTCAAAAAACAAAATACCAAAAAGTTAAACACATTGCTAAGTGCCTGAGCCTCAGTTTCCCTGTTTGGAAGCAGAACCAATAGGAACCTTCCTCCTGAAGTCAGGAGCCCCCATGAGTGAAGACTCATGGCGTGTGTTCGGGGAGAGAGACACACAGGAGGATCCTGAGTTCAAGACCAGTCTGGGCTGCGCTGTGGGTGGAGCGAGGTTCCCTCCAGGAAGCGGAGCTCAGCCTATCTATCTACTCATCAGGCCATAGCCTGGGGTGTGGCTGGGGCAAGTGGGGACTCTACTGACGCCGTACTCACCCAAGTGAAAATGGAGAAGAAAGAGAAGGCGATGGCGGCCCGGGCTGCGTCCGTCCCTTCATTCAGAGGGTTGTCCTGGGGCTTGGAGACTTGCCACTGGTTAGCCAGGAAGCAGAAACCCACGAACCAGAAGAAGGCCCAGAAGGCTGGGGTGCCCAGGGCCAGGCCACATGTCAGTGACACACACAGAGAAGGGGGAGAAAACAGGGTACCCAGGAACAGGGGGACCGTTCAAGAGCATGCTCCCATGCTCCCCGACCCCCAAATGATGAGCAAGGAGGTAGAGCAGAGAGAAGGAGAAAGGAGAAGGTGCAGATTGGGAATGACAGAGTTGGGGTGAGGGGGGACCACAGAGAGGGCAGGTCAAAGGCAAGTAGATGCACAGGGCGAGGAGCACAGGGCAAGCTGTGGGGTGGGAGGACAATGGGGAGGGGGTGGGCAGCCAGCTCGGGGGTCTCTCTTAATGCCTGCCACCTCCCTGCCTTGGTCTGGAAGGCCAGCTGCTAACGCAGAGGCGGCGGGATGCAGCGGCCCTGCTCAGACTTCTGGAGAACTGGGGGAGGGGACATCTGGGACAAGGACAAGAGTGGCCGCACAGCCTAAGGCCTGGATCTCCACTTCCACATGTGTGCAACTTACAGAAGCCCCCACCCACCCACCCACTCACTCACCCCCTGTGCCCCCGGCAAATGGAGCCCCTCTGAAGCTGAGGTGTGTGGCTGGGTAGAAGAGCAAGATCTGTGGGTACCCAGGGTCTCCCCAGAGCTGTCTGAAACAGTGCCTGGGATGTACCATCCTGCCCTTGAGAGGAGCTTCTGGGAACTCCATGGAAACTGGGGAATAGTCATTTAGTCCGAGTTCTTTCTGGAAGGTCAAAGGGTCCCCAGTCTCTTAGGAAGCAGGGCCCACAGACCTCTAATCATGCCCAAAGTGCCTACCAGGCTGACTCTGGGACTCCCAAGGGTGGAAGACTAGCAAAGGGTGGTAGTCCTGCCCAGGACCAAAGGAAGGACGGCTCCAGCATCCCCAGGGAGTGGTACAGAAGGGCATGGAGCCCAGAGCTGACTTGAGACCCTCCCCTCATCAGCCATGGCCCCCCCTAGTCTGTTGCTTCACTACCTACACTTCACGGGAGGGTGGGAGAGGAAACTCGCCACATGCTGTCACGGGGGACCACCCGAGCAGGCTCACCCGAGACACCGATGTCCGACAGCACGGCCTTCTTGCGATCCTTGACACTGCTGATCTGCGGGAAGTACACGTCCAGCGCCAGGTAGAGCAGGCAGGTGAGGAAGGCCAGCACGCCCACCGTCACGCCGTAGCGGCATGCATTGGGGTTCCGGTTGTAGATGCAGAACTCCTCCTCCTCCTCCGAGTTGTTGAGGTAGCCCTCGTTCACGATGGAGCCAAAGACCACAATGGAGAAAACCTGCAGGGGAGGGGCAGGTGTGAGCACAGCCGGGCTCCCCAACCCTGTCAGTGATCGCCCGATCCACTGTGGACACACGGCAGGGAGGTATGAGCAGGAAGCCCAGAGGAGGGCAGCTTGCTTGAGGTCACAGCACTTGAGGTCAGCATCAACCACTTCCTAACAGTGCTGCAGGGCTTAAGGGACCTCTGACGGCACATTCGGCCCCTCCTGCCACTGACACCAAGGGTTCCGGGGCTAGCTTGGACCCCAGAGTGGGTAACTTGGGTACCCCTCAGTCATAACCCTGCCTGTCAATCCCCAGTCCTCCGGGTCAACATCTACAGTTCCTAACACCAGCCCAGCCCGGTATTGTGTTCCTCTCTGAACTGCCTAGGGCTGTTCTAGTCTGGTGTCTCAGGCCACAAGTCCTGGTCCTAACCCAGGTGAACGAAATGACAAAATCAAAAACTCACAGTGGTAACAATCCTGCCAGATGCATCCCATGAGGCACCTCACTTACAGTCTTAGCCAATCACTTAGCCTCATCACTTCAGCTGGACTGGCAGCTAGCTCAGGCTGTCGTGACCCTTCCTCCTGCTGGCCACACCTGATAGTGACTGGACCCAGTGATCTGCTTCTAATAGACAAAATGTGGTTAAAGTGTCTGGGCAGAGCTGGGACTGGTGGCGCACGCCTTTAATTCCAGCACTTGGGAGGCAGAAGCAGGCAGATCTCTGTGAGTTCGAGGCCAGCCTGGTCTACAGAGTGAGTTTCAGGACAGCCAGGGCTACAGAGAGAAACCCTGTCTTAACAAAACAAACAAAAAAAGGCAGGTGGTGGTGGTTAACACCTTTAATCCCAGCACTCAGGAGGCAGAGGCAGGCAAAACCTTGTCTTGAATCCCACCCCTAAAAGTCTGGGTTCATGAGGCCCCACTTTGCTCCGAGGAGCTACAGGTGGCCAGTGGTTGCTGGGGAAGGGGCAGCCATCTTCCTCATGGTGAACTGCCCTTGCCAAGTAAATAAACTCCTACTGTGCTCATGCAAGCAACCTTAACGCAAAGACACAGGGCTGGAGAGAGAGCCCAGGGGTTAAGAGCGAGGTACCCAGGTTCGGTTTCCAGTACCCATTTGGGGTGGTTCATAATTATCTGTAATTTCAGTTCCAAGGGGGTCTGATGCCCTCTTCTGGCCTCTGTGGACATGGCACTCACATAGCATACATAGACACAAATGCGCACACACATAAATAAAATAGGAATAATCAAAGACATGAAGGTAAGAGCTTGTTGAGAAGGAGGGGTTTGGCAGAAGGGAGATGAAAGACTAACTGGGGGAAATTTGATCAAAGTACATTATGTAAGTATGAAATTATGAAAGGATAATTTAAGTGATGAGGTATCGCTTCTGGTTCCCACGTCACTCACTCTCTGGCCTCCCGTCCCTGCCTGCTCTACTGGAAGGCGACTGCTGTGACAAGGAGCAGAGGGAAGTCTCCGGCTGACAGCCAGAAGGGAGCTGAAGCCCTCCATCAGCAGTCCACGGAGTGGGGGTGGGATGAAACCTACAGTACCATGCTTGTGAACTTGAAACTGACGGATCCACAGTACAGTCATCACATGGGACCACAGCCCTGGCTGACCCCGTGGCTTTAGCCGGTGAGAGACCTGGAGGCAATGGCACCCACCTTAGCAGATTCCTGACCCACAGAAACTGAGATAACTTGTGGCCGCTGTTTTAGGCCATACGTTTGGGGGCAATTTATTATGTGGCAGTAGCTAGCTAATATAGCAGTATTGTTAGGAATCTGTACACGAGGCTATCAGAGGCGCTGGTGTCAATCAATGAATGTCCTGAAGTTGTACAACTGCTAAGTGACAGGAATGGGCTCCAAACATCCATGCTTCCTTCTAGGGCTGCTCTTCTTCCAGGGAAACCACAGTGGATGGAGAAAGCTCAGATCTCAGAGAGGACACTGAAAAAGGCTTGCACCCAAGTGTGGCCTGAGGTGAGCAGGAGGCGGAAGCTGGAGGGATTGCTGCTGTCCAGTCCCATCTTACCGTTGCTTTGCCTCTCTGTGCGTATACGCACACATGTGTGGGGAGGCTAGAAGGCAGTGTCTGGGTCTTCCTCTATTACGCTACACCTAACTCTCAGAAACAAGGTCTCTCACTCCACTTGGAGCTCACTGATTCGGCTAGACTGTCTAGCCAGTGAGTCCCCCAGATCTTCCTGTCTCTGCCTGCCCAGCACTGGTATTACAGCACTGGTATTACTGGGCCCCTGGGCTCAGCTTGTAGATGAATACTAGGGATTAAACTCAGTTCTCATGCCTACATAGCAAGAACTTACCAACTGAGTCATCTCCTCAGCCCTACTTCCCATTTACTTAAAAGTATTTTATTTGCATGGATGTTTGTCTGTGCGCCAATGCTTGTGGAGGCCACAAGAGGGCGTCCGATTCCTCCTGGGACTGCAGTCACAGATGGCTGTGAGCCTCCACGTGGGTACGGAGAATGGAACCCTTGGCCTCTGGAAGAGCAGCAGCCAGTGCTCTGACCTGATGAGCCATCTCCTCAGCCCCTACTTTTCATTTGTATATAAAGAACTATCTTTCGGGCTGGAGAGGCGGCTCAGCGGTTAAGAGCACTGGCTGCTCTTCCAGAGGTCCTGAGTTCAATTCCCAGCAACCACATGGTGGCTCACAACCATCTGTAATGAGATCTGGTGCCCTCTTCTGACCTGCAAGCATATATGCAGACAGAACATTGTATACATAATAAATAAATAAAAAAAGAAAGAAAAAGAACTATCTTTCAGTATAAGCCAGGCACGCTCTCTGCCACAGCGGACAACCCAGGAGGGTTAGTAAGGCACAGATGATACGGAACAGGGGAAGAGCCAAGGACCGTTTGCAATGTTTTCTTGTCCTGTCTTCCTGCATGTGGGAAGTTTCTATCATACAACAATGGTCTTATTCAACTGTTGCCTCATGACTCCCTCGAGGCCTCAGCGCACTGTGATGTCTGAACTTCTTAGCATGAATCTCCGCTAAGTGGCTGCATTTACAAGATTCTACAGGGTGCAGAGCACAATACACAGAAGACAGACAAAGCTGCACTCAGAGGACTCATGCAGGACTTTCCCGGGGAGAAAGAATGAGCTTGAGACCACTGGTTCAGGACACGAAGATGGCGGCCTACATGTACACTGAAGGAAAAGTGAAAACAGAAACCACAGCCCTTCACAGGGTGGATTCTGATTGGGCCATAAAAAGGAACAAAGTACTGAAATAAGCAATGAAACCAGACACAGGACTAGGGGCGGGGTGCAGCGGCAGATATACGCTTAGCGTATGTTCATGCTTGGCATGAATGAGGCCCTGGGCTTTGTTTGTTTGTTTGTTGTTTTTTCAAGACAGTGTTTCTCTGTGTAGCCCCGGCTGAACTGAACTTTTAGAGGACACATTTCAAACTACCCCAGACCAATCCCCAGGCCCCAGTGATTTTATACCTTAAATAAAATCCGCCTCTACCACCAGCCAAGTCAACTACTATCATTGATCGCCTACAATAATCCTTTTTACTTGACCTTTTTGTCCCCATTCAGTTTCCATAAAACTTTACTCTGTTCTCCGCAGTCAGAGAACCAACAGGCCCACATCAAGAGCTGGCTTAGCAACCAGTAACTTCTTTTTCTTGTCCTTCTTTTTTTGTTTATTTGTTTGTTTTGTTTTTGTTTTTCAAGACAGGATTTCTCTGTGTAGTTTTGGTGCCTCCCTGGATCTCACTCTGTAGACCAGGCTGGCCTCGAACTCACAGAGCTCCGCCTGGCTCTGCCTCCCGAGTGCTGGGATTAACGGTGTGCACCACCATGCCACAAGGCTCCATGTGATTTCTTTCACCCACTGTTTTCCCCAGAGGCAAAACAGCAACAGAGCAGAGGGTGGGGGGAGGGGGGACAAGAGCGATCGCCTGGTGGGCACTAGGCAATGCCCCACAACGTAAAAACACTAAAGGCAGCCTAGCCGCGGTGGCCCACACCTTTAATCCCAGCAACCGGGAGGCAGAGGCAGGTGGATCTCTGTGAGTTCGAAGCCAGCCAGGTCTACAGAGTGAGATCCAGGACAGTCAAGGCTACAGAGAGAAACCCTGTCTCGAAAAACAAAAACAAACAAAAAGAATGAAGGTCATTCTTTGGGTCAGCCCCAGGACACCACAGCCCTGCCCATGAAGGGTTTCCTGGCTCACTCGCTGCCTCTACATCCTTACCAGAGCCCATGAATCCCAGAAGGGGATTTAGACTGGCTGACTAACAGAAAAGGGAAACTGAGACTCAGAAGGCCAAGTGACCCTCTGGAGTCTAGTGCCCCACACTGACACCAGCCTCAGGGGGAGGACCTGAAGAAAGAGAGGGCTGCCAGGGACCCAGGGGACCGGGTGGTGAGGTATGGCTAGGCTAGCAGGCAGCTTTGGTGCAATTTGCAACTTCAGTACAATGGCTAAGGCAGCAAGACTGAGTCCATGCTGGTGCTCAGGGGAACAGGAGGAGAGTGGCCTAAGCTAGGGTCTCCAAGACACTGCTGGGGGCAGGCTCTGAGGGACAGCTGCCTGGAGCGACTGCTAGTCAGTCTCTGTGCACCACCATCTGGGTCTGGCAGCTGCAACAATCCAAGACTTCTTCTGGCAGACGCCACCAAAGAAGCAAGAGTGGAAAAGTCTCTTGATTAGAGAGATTTCAGACACAGGGGTCAGACAGGCCTGCTGCATTCAAATCTGAATTCAAATCTGGACAATGGTCTTCTGGAAAAATGATCTTCTGGAGAGAAGGCTCAGAGTATAAAAGCACTTGCAGCACAAGCTGGGTGACCCGAGTTCGATTCCTGGGACCCACATAAAAGTGGAAGGAGAGAAACAACTCGGCCAAGTCGTCCTTTGTCCTCCGCGTGTGCGCCGAGGCACACTCAGGCAGACACATCTATACACAGGAGACGCAGTTCATTGGTAGGTCAGGTACTTA